GCCCGCAGCGCATGTATCGGTTCATTATTAGGTAAGAGTAGGGGAATCAAACAACGCTCGGGACGCATGAACAGAATGGAAGGGGATTGTCGCAAGCATTAAGGACGGGGCAGACACAATTTGACCGGCAAAGTGAGACAGACACACCAAGAAACGAAGCGACCAAAGCAGTACAAGCCAACAGGGCGTGAGAGGTATCAGTACTCACCCTCTTCACCCTCAGGCTCCAGACTGTCGTTGGCAACTTCTTCATAGTCCTTCTCCAGCGCAGCCAGGTCCTCACGAGCTTCGGAGAACTCACCTTCTTCCATGCCCTCACCCACGTACCAGTGAACGAAGGCGCGCTTCGAGTACATGAGGTCGAATTTGTGGTCAAGACGACCCCAAGCCTCAGAAATGGAGGTTGTGTTGGAGAGCATGCTGACAGAGCGGTCGACGGGAGCGAGCTCGGTGTCGGGAACGCGAACGGGCTTCTGGTAGTTGATACCCAACTTGAAGCCGGTAGGGCACCATTCGACGAGATTGAACGAGGCCTTGGCCTTGAGGGAGGCGATGGCCTGGGTGCAGTCTCGAGGTACCACATCACCACGGTACAGCAGAGCCACTGCCATATACTTGCCCTTGCGAGGATCACACACCACCATCTGATTATTCGGCTCAAAACCTGCAGCTCCTGTTAGCAATTCACTCACGCCAATGCCTCGACGACAAGCCACGAAGAGAAGTACATACACTGGAAGGTAAGATCCTGCACCTTGAAGCTTTCGTGGGAGCTGCGGCTGCTCGAGACCACGGGTGCATACGAAATCAGCGGATAGTGGATACGAGGGAATGGCACCAAGTTAGTCTGGAACTCAGTCAAGTCGACATTGAGGGCACCGTCGAATCGGAGACTTGAGGTGATGGAGCTGACGACCTGGGCGATTAGACGGTTGAGGTGCTCATAGCCGGGACGCGGAATGTCCAAGTTGCGACGGCAGATGTCGTAAACCGCCTCGTTATCCACCAAGAAGGTGCAGTCAGCATTCTCAATAGTGCTGTGGGTGGAGAGAACAGCGTTGTATGGCTCAACGACGGCGGTCGACACACGAGGGGAAGGGTACACCGCAAACTCAAGCTTCGACTTCTTTCCATAATCGGTGGAAAGACGCTCAAGCAGCAGGGCACCAAAACCGGAGCCGGTACCACCACCGAAGGAGTGGAAGACCAAGAATCCCTGCAGAGAGTTGCAGTTATCTAGTGTGTGTAAGCCTAGCCCCGGCAGAGTCAGGTTTCAGAGATATTGTGGTAAACCTACCGGAGACGCGGCGAATGCGGTCGGCAACTGATTCAACGAGCTCCTTTCCGATGGTGTAATGTCCGCGGGCATCTGACGAGCATTAGCTTTCATGTTCAGGCTGGATTAGAAGAGACGTACAATTATTGGCGGCGTCTTCCTTTCCGCTGATCAACATCTCGGGGTGGAAGAGCTGACGGTACTGGCCGGTGCGGATCTCATCGACAGGCTGCGTCCATCAGTTTAGCATATACGTTATATGAAACCATCCATCTGGAAAGGTCGTACCGAGGGATCAAGATCCACGAAGATAGAACGAGGGACATATTTGCCGCTGTGTGTCTCTGTGAAAAAGGTTTCGAACGAACCACCGGAATTAATTGCGTCTTCAGCCTCAGGATTAAGCTGGCCATCGGCCTTGAGACCGTGTTCAAGGAGGTACCTGCCGTGATGGTCACAGGTCAGCATGGGGTCAACGACATTTAGGTCGGGGTACAATAAAAAGCGGTGAAGACATACAGCTCCCAAGCACTGTTACCAAGCTGGATACCAGCCTGGCCAATGTGGATGTGGCAGACCTAATCGAAAGCAATAGTTAGAATAGAGCAATCTTAAGCTTCGATCAGACCGTTGAACGAGTGTCGGTGCGTGAGATTGTGGAATTGGATGTTTATGGATAAGGGGAGGGGGTGACGGTGCGGGGGTCCAAAGGTAAATAGAACGGGGGGTATACCTCGCCTCGCATGTTGGACAATGGGTCCGATTATCTTTGTAGCCAGACGCAAGGGATTCGCTCAGCGGCGTCAGGGTAATAGACTGGGATGACAAGCAGTAGACTTGCAACCCCAGAGGATGATGGAAGAAGAAGAGGGGAAAGAGATGGAGGATGAGGGAGTTTCTGGATCAATGGGATGGAAGATGGAAGGAGAGAGCATCAGTCGTTCTTGCCGGTCCAATAAACAAGACAAGGCGCTTTGGACCAATCAGCTGCCCTTCTGCTCCCGACCGATCAGTCGATCAGCACGTGAATTTGACTAACTCGGTCTGCTACCTCCCAGTATAACGGACACCCAAAGTTCTGGCGCCTCGATACTTCAGAGGATCATAGAACTACACTCTATCGACCACGGAGTTCTCTCCTTTCTATTCCGTCCCTTTTCTGTCATCGCGGAATCCTCTATACTCCACGTGCGTCCTGCCGTGGAATGCGGGGAAGCCATCCTTGGGATTCGTGATGTGTGACAGCGGTTTGACCTGCACAGACCAGGGGTAGCTGCGATGCCCCTGCTGGCTTTGCAATACTTAGCTGTGTGAGATACACGGTAGACCTACTCAGAGGGGCGAGTAGGATGCTACGGACAACTAATGGAAAGAGATAGTATGGAAATGTTTAGTGTCGATCTTCCCCGCACTCTGACCCTACACCATGCCTACTATGTACCCATCTACGCCTGCAGATTCTTTAGTTGCACGGGCTAACAAGAGCCGGAGAGCAGACAGGCAGGCAGAATGACTAGTCAAGAATGACCCGATCACAGAGTTTGGCTCGTATTGCTGGCGGTAGGGAACACTTGAACACTGGCAGGTAGATGGAAATCAATGCGGCCAAGTTGTTGGAACGGCAAACCGTTGTCGATGGATCCCATTTTATGAATTGCAGAGTGACTGAGATGGTCCTTGCGCTTCGATGATTTGAGCATCGTAAGCATACTTCATAAGCTTCCATTTACGGTTATCATGGCCTTCCCATCTACCGTGCAGATGACCGCGGCGATCTCCAGTGGACATGGCGGGGCAAGACACGTCAACAGCCGGGAGCGGACCTGCCAATGGAATTCGCGTGGTCATCGCAATGATGTCGAGGGCTGATAGCCCAATCGAGATCAACTCTTTGACAATTGTGATGGGTGAGTGAGTGGATGTTGCATATAATGGAGGATGGAGGTAAGCAGGAGCATAACTATGCACATTCAACTACCAATTGCACAAGCCTATCAGAATCGCGCTTGGTAACTCCGAATATCATGCTGGGTAGGTATAATATTTCGGCAGGTTAGCAGCGTCCCTCCTTGTCACCTATCATAAGAGGCGGTCTCGTTCATCCATCTAAGACTGGGATGATGGATTGGTTGGTCGCATAAACACTAGCGTGTAGAAATCAGGTTTTTGAGACGTCAAGACTCAGATGGTGTCTATGGTGGAATCCTCCAGGCTTAGCGCCATATACTAGTGCTGAAGCTATAGACTGCACTGACTCGCGCCTAGCAAACCATAATATCCCTATTAAGCTGAACGGCAGCAGAAGAAATCATCATTCAATTTCTGCTAGGACAGCAACCGGACATGACGTACAAAATTCTGTATCGAGACCAGGTGAAAGACATAGGCATTCTGCGCAGTGGGGGCAAAAGATTTCCGAGGTTGGTCTCCCACGTACGTAAGTGCTGACCCAGGGATCACTGAAGATGATGACTTTGTGCAAGACTTTGTGCACAGCTGGGAGGACAGCCCGGGAGTGCCTGATGTGGCGTTTCTTGGCAGTGGCCACTTTTTGCCCTTCCACATTTGATTGCGTTCAAGACTTCGGAGAATAATCGCTGGAGGAGAGATAACATCATTTTGGTCTCCCTTTCCAGACTTGACATCTGTTTGGAACCTTCCCACGGTCAGTCAGCGGATTTTTGCATCTCCGAAGTGAGGTAGGGAGAGGAAAAAAAAAGAAAAAAAAAGTCTCCTACATAAAATCCGAATAATCTCCCTTATCTGTAAACCCGCTGCAGGACCAAATCCCGCGAAATGCCAAGCTGCCCCCCCTCTCCCTCTCAGGTAACGCAAGTCTCGCTGTGAGACACCAGACTAAGGCTGCAACGATGGAGGAGCTAACGCAGGTAGTTTGGGTTAGTATCAGCCATGAAGGGTACACTGGGTCCCAGAGTTTTTCTTTGGACCCGTTTGAAGTTTCTAACGTTAGATGACTCGGACCCACTGGGCGCCACTGGGCCAGAACCGATGCTGAGGGCACGCCCACTGAATGGATAGTCTAAGGACTGGGATCCATATCGATCGAGGTCTTGGATCGTAGAATGACCGCCACCCGCGGCCACCTCTGATAGTTCCGCCCCATTGTTACTTACGGTGCATGGGCTGAGATAGTTCCCAGGGTAGATGGTCAATCGACAACGGGAATTGCCGATTGTCTTTTGTAAAGAGGCATCACCGGATGGTGTTTATCAAATGGTCTTTTGAGAAATACGATACTCATGTGCATAACCGAAGTGTCTGACTCGACTAAGGAATAGAAATGGTCTGGACCTTACCAAACCTTCAGTCATTTGAATCTCTCTTTAGTTGGTTTAATTGTCCCGTGCGATCGGCATCTCGCCCGCATCGATCTCCTCCTCCTTCTGCTCTGCTGCTGTCGAATTGTCGAACCAAGGTCCAGTCTCATTTGGTCTGGTACCTTTCTGTCTTTTCTTTCTGTCTTTTTGCCTTTTTCTATTCTTTTCGCAGGCTTCCCCACCTACACTCTGTCCTATTCCTCCTCTTGTCCTTACTTTCTTTTCTTCTTCTTCCTTCCTGCATCTCTCCATCTTCTCCTGCTTGTTTCTGTACATTATTTTCCTTTTCCTCCGTCTGCACAATCCTACTAGTGCCCGCTTATCTCCCGTTCCTCTTTGAGCCCACCGGCCAGAGTCAATGCATCATTAGCTTTGTTGGTTTTCGGAAGGAATTCCCACCAGTGTAGGTCAGTCGTCGCCCTTGCTCGTGCTTTTCCTCGCTTGCACCAGACCCTCTTCTATTCTCTGGGATGTTTCCCTTCATTTTGTCTATCCTTTTGATTCTTCCATCCTTCACTATGTGTTTGTAGTTAAGCCTTTACATGGCCTTTTCTTGATCGTTATTGGTCTAACTTACCCAGCATCTAGTCTGTATCAAATCAGATCGATCTATAACCTCAGTGCTGGTCAGCCTGTAATCTAGCCCTTCGCTGTCGACTCCTGGCCTGGTGCCAACATGTCGACCTCCATGGGAGATCATCTTGCTCCTGATCATCTGGAAGAGAAGAGCAAGCACAGATCGGACGATGGAACTCCTGACTCGGACGAAGGCACTTACGTCTATGACAGTGCCAGTAACGGAAACCACCTGAGAGTGGACACTTCTTACAATGACTTGGATAGGACCGCCCTGGCCTCTCCGGTCACTGCGAGAGAAGAATCCACGCGTCTCGAAGACGACCTGGCAGTTATGGAAGCAGAACGGATGGTTTCGCGCTCCACGCAGGAAGCAGAGTCGAAAAAGAGTGTTCACGACGGCCGTCCATCCACCTCTCGCTCTCGTTCACGTTCTCGCTCGCGCCCTAACGAACATGTCGACGAGTTTGACGAGGCCACCAATCCGCTGCATGAGAAAGCTGCAGTTTACAATCCACCCGAGAATCCCAATACCAACATTGCCAGATTCGTCAAGAAACTCCATGAATCGAGTTTCATCATCCGTTACCTTACCTACATCCTGCCTCTTGTGATCATTCTACTCATTCCGTTGTTGGTTGGCGCGCTGGCCTATCCAGATGCCAGTGTCGGAGGTGTCCGGCTGGTTTGGTTTTCAGTCTGGCTGGAAATCGTCTGGTTGACCTTGTGGGCTGGAAGAGTGAGTACCTGTGATATCGTTGTCTGTTTACCCATCGCCTCGTTGCTAATTCGATTTTGGACAGATCGTCTCCAAGTTGATCCCTATACCTGTGAACGCGCTCGCTAGTATCTTCACCAACAATGCGAAGAAATGGCGTGATCTTGCCAAGCAATTGGAGCTGCATGCCACTCTTTTCTTCTGGTGGTTGGGTGTCGAAATTTCTTTCCTGCCCACAATGAAGAACCATCACGTGGACGGAAACCATACTACGCGCTCCTGGGAAAATACGCTCAACAAGATTATCATTTCCGTCTTCGTCTGGACGATTCTCAACCTGGTGGAGAAATTCATCATTCAGCTTATTGCCATCAGCTTCCACACGCGTACTTATGCCGACCGAATTGAGATCAACAAGTTCCAAATTGGCAGCTTGACCAAATTATACGAATTCTCGCGGAGGAAAATCACGGCCAAGGACAAGGAATTTGAGGAGCAAAAACAGCCCGGTTCTAATAACGGCCTCAAGATCCCATTCCATTACGCTGGTAAAGCGGGACGTCTTGCTAAGGGTGCCTTTACCAAGGTCGGCGATGTGGCCGGCGCAGTTGCAGCGGACTTCACTGGTCGCACAGCCACCAACAGCAACCACCCTTACCAGGTTGTGCTGGCTTTGCTGCGAACCACCAGCGGTTGCCAGGTTTTGGCTCGGCGACTCTACCGGACCCTCGTGCGGGATGGCTTTGAGACCGTTTTCTCCGGCGATCTGAAGGAGGCGTTTGATAACAATGACGAAGCCGAAGCTGCCTTTACCATGTTCGACAAAGACATGAACGGAGATATCTCCATGGAAGAATTGGAGTCGGTGTGCGTGGAGATTGGACGCGAACGCAAAGCAATCACTGCGTCCTTGAAGGATCTTGACTCTGTTGTTGGAAGACTCGACAACATCCTGGAATTTTTCGTGGTTATCATTACCCTGATCGTGTTCTTGACCCTGATTTCCACCTCCGCTGCTGGTGTACTCACGTCTGCAGGCTCCAGTATTCTTGCGTTGTCTTGGCTGTTCTCTGCCACTGCACAGGAGTTCCTTCAGTCGGTCATTTTCGTCTTCATCAAGCACCCGTTTGATGTTGGTGACCGTGTCACAGTATATGGTAACTCTGGTGATGCGGGTCTGGGTGATGACTACTTCGTCAAGCAGATCTCTCTCTTGTATACCGAGTTCAAGAAGATGCAGGGTCACGTTGTGCAAGCCCCGAACAGCTATTTGAACGGTCTCTTCATCCTCAACCAACGCAGATCAGGCGCCCTGGCCGAGGCTGTGCCTATTGTCATCAAGTATGGCACGACACTCGAGCAAATCGATGGCCTTCGCCAACGCCTGTTGGAATTTGTCCGCAGCGAACGCCGGGAATTCCAGACCAATATCCTTACTGAAATGCGTGAGGTGACCGAAAACTTCTCCGTCACCCTCAATGTTGTGTTCTTCTACAAGTCAAACTGGCAAAATGAGGGCCTGCGTTTGCAACGTCGCAATAAGTTTATTTGCATGCTCATGCTTGCCTTGCAAGAGATTGGCATCGAAGGCCCACGCATGAACCTCCAGGGTGCCCGTGTCGACATTCCTTTCCATGTCGCTGGGTTCCCTTCGCATAACATGGGTGCTCCTCCCGGCAGCAGTGATGGCCGGCCTCCTCCCACCCCTGTCTACCAGCATGACTCGATCCCCGAGAATACTGGCTCTAGCAGCTCTGTCCGCCAGCATTCTATTCTTCGAAGGGGCGCGGACGCCGCCGCTGCCCGGGCCCGTGGTGACTCGATGCTCACGCGGAAGCATGTTGACTTCTCTCTGGGCATGCGCGACGTTTCTTCCGGCGACGTCATGGGCGATGTCTTCGAAGACCGCGGCACTCGTGTGGATGACGTTGTTCGGATGGCCAACCGTGAAACCGCAGAGCGTCGCATCCAGGAAGAAGAGGAAGAGCAAGCCGAGCGGCAGAGCCGTGCATCTGGCTCTCACCGTCGAAGCCACTCCAACACCAGCGCCGCCCCGTCTGCAGCGCGCTCCGGTCGCCAGTCAATGGAATCCCACGGTGGTCACAGCTTGTCCTCCGTCAGTCGCGGCCGATTCTTCCGTCATCGCAACAGCATCAGCAGCCGCGGCCCAGCCGATCTGGAACAAGGGCAAACCCACGGCCAGCAATCGCCTCAGATCCGTGCCGTATCGCCCGCTATGGACGAGAAATGATTTCATTTCAACTAGTGCGGTGTTCATTCTGGAAATGACTGCCCTTGCGCACTTGTTTATCGTCCCTTTACATACTGTTGAGTGATTTGGTTTGATCATATCAGCATAGCTATTTATAGATAATACCTTTCCGTACATACCAAAAGGCGGCATGCTTGTTTTATTTTGCATTATACTGTGACGGTTGATTGGTCCAGATATTCAGTTACCTAATGGACTACTAATGTTGTTACAAGTGTGGCTGGGTATACAATCATCTCGTCTGGTCAGTGTCAGACTTGTGTTCATTCTCTGTGGCATATTCCACCAATATATAGATTCAATAATGATATGCACTGAAATCATTGCTTGGTCCATACGCTCATCGCTCATCTACACACTACTTACCACGAGTACAAAGCACATAAGTTATTACAATTACTAACTACCATGAATCTTATATCCTTTAAAACTAATTGATTGCCAGAACAATCACTAGTTAACCTGCCATGGAAACTACGCTAACCACAAAGATTTACTACGTAGTACACTCTCCACGCCTCGAACAAGAAGGAACGTCTTTGAATAATAATCCATACAATCAAAAACTATAATAGGACCTACCATTACCACTCACTACTACTACTGCTAATACCTCAGTTTTACTTATAAGTTAGTAGTATCTCATAACATGTGACCCCTTCTCCGCACCCCTGACGGGACGACCCTCCCTCCTTCCCTACTACTACTCTTCCGCTTAGTGGTACTTTAAATGTTGTTGTTGTCAGCGCTCATATACTCGGATCATTTGTGGGGATATATATATATGATAGTATTGGGTCGAATTTGTAGCTGGGTTTGTGTGTGTGTGTGTGTGTGTGTGTGTGTGTGTGTGTGTGTGTGTGTGTGTGTGTGTGTGTGTGTGTGTGTCATTTGAAGACAGAGAAGGCGTGATGGTACTTAACTAGCTTTTGTGTGCTCGTTCAAGTAATGTAACTAAAGTAAGGGGCGGTCTGGATGGTTTAAGTGCTGTACTACGTTAAAAAAATCTTACTATCTTTTTTTTCCCGCATTGGTAATTTACCGATTAGGGAATCTGTGAGGGGGGTGCTTTGAGAATGTTGAATGAGGGTTGAGTGCTGCCTACTACGTGTGTTTATGAAAGGTCGAAAGAAATCTGAGATGAGTAGGAACAGGACTACAGTATATGGTTTATAATATACACTTGGACTGGCATGTTTACTGACGCAAAGCAGCTAGAAGAGAAAAGCTGGACTCTTTTTTTGGGGAGAAATCTGGTACGTATAGGTACACACACACAATTTTGCTCTCAAGAAGAGGAAAATTTTAGAACAAAGGAAATGGGATATACGCCTGGATGATGAGACAAGAAGAGAGCAAGTGGAATAATGAGCAAGAAAATGGAAGTCAGAACGAGAAATCGACAAATGAGTGGAACTCAGACAGCCTGGTTGAGACGACAAACACTCCCAAACACCCGCTAGCCTTGAAACGCGTGTGGAAAATAAAGCAATATGAAAAGTCAGCAAAAGAAGAGGAATGTATTTTAACAGGTGCAAAAAGAACAATATGTCGTAAGCATGGAGTGATATAAGTCATATAATCGCACACAATAGCGGACCGTACGTGGACTCTGTCCAACGCATGCCACACTGAATTGCAGTCTTCGCAAGGTCTACCTTGATAGTAAGATGGTGTCGGTTCTTTATATGTCGGGTTGAGAATGGGTGGAACCCAAGTATGGATGGGGAGAAGGTGTATGTAATGGTCGAGGTGTGGCATCAGCATCCAGATACCGGTCAACATCAGCTTCTGAACCATATGCCGGAGCCAAATTGTCTCCAGTAGTCTTGATGTAGGGGGTTTCTGGGTCGTTTCCTGAGGGTTCTGACTCTCCGTCTCTCGTAAAAACGATAGGGGGTGTGATATGCCCAAGTTTAGGTGTTTCGACGCTGGCCTCCATGGCCTGTGCATCTGAAGCTTCTGTCGTGTACGGTGACGTTGACCGATCTGAGAAGATTGCTGGTATGTCCATTTTCGACCCTAGCTCCACGATGGGCGAATGCTTGGGGCTGCATCCTTCAACGGACCCCACAATCGCCTCCTCGGGAATTGAAAGGTTCTCGAGACGGCTCTCCAGACTTGGACTGTGCGGAGAGCGAGTGCCAGTGCGTTCCTCGCTGTAGTCACTGGCACCGCCGGAACCTCCACTGCTCCGTCGCTCCAACGACTCCCGCTCTCTCTTGAGAAGCTCCTCGCTTCCACTGACAACGCTACCCCTGCTATTGGTTCTCATCATCTCTATACCTAGCTTAGAGCCAGGGCGACGAGATCTTTGTTGAGGGCTGCTGGATCGTGTTTGAGAATTTCCGAGCTCTTCATCTTCATCATCGCCAGACTCGGCACACTCGTAGCGCTTGCGTTCCAACGACTCTCTCTTCGCTCGGATCGCTTCACTGGATCGCTGTTTGCGAGGTGTGAGGCTTCCAGACGCATGGACAGTGGGTGGCGCTGAAGACGCGTGAAGTAGGCTTGGGAAAGGCACTGCATCCGAGCCAGATGTGGAACTGCCATCCGTCGCTTCTTGTACACGAGTCACATCTTCGGAAATCCCGAGGCCACCTCTATCCTGTTCCGGTTCTTCATTGTGATGACTCACGATGACAGGGCCGTCATCTGGTTTGATTGACTCCGTATCGCCAAAGTAACTGCTGACGATAGAATCCTCTCGACTGGATCCTCTGTAAGAGCTAGAAGGCACATGTGCGAACCCCGACGATGCTATTGAACTTGGGCTATGCTCGGCTTGCACAAAAGCCTGGCGTATCGTAGAAGGCGGAACACTCATTGACTGGGAAGGATTGTAGTCCTTTGGAGGCGGCTTCCACTGACAGAACCTACACAGTGCTTCCGTGAATTTTGTCAGGGTTGGAGGCTTCTCAATGAGCGCGTCGAAATGGTGGGTTTCTGGAAGATCCTTAAGGTAGCCTGTAACCGCAATGATTGGTGTATGCCGATTCGCACTACGCGTTTCCCGCACCATACGCGCGACATCGGCCCCAGTTACCTGGGGTAGCTTGAACTCCGTCATGATAATGTCGAACTGCACCTCGCTGAGAGCGTAACGCATCGCTTCGTTACCGTTTACCGCCGTAATGGTACGACATCGCAGTTTCTCAAAGAGGCGTTCCATTACTATGCGAGAGACCGGATGATCTTCACAGATGAGCACGTCCAAGGGCCGGAAGAATGGCCCATCGGGGAAATTAATCTGTGACATACGCCTTGAGCTTTGACGGCGGCGCTGTACTTTAAGCAAGGCTTTCGTGCGCGGATCCTCATTGTCTGATGAGGAGGGCGAGATATCGAATAATTGGCTGCGGCGTTTGTAATGGCCCACGGCATACGTTTCCTTGGCTAGAGATGATGAGAGGTCCCCGTCCTGGGAGCCGATGGTCTGTGATCTTGCTCGTGAGGCGGGAGCACTGCCGTGGCGCTGTCCAGAAGGTGTCTTGTCAGGCGAGTGAGCCGTGGCTCGAGGGGGCTTTATAGGAGACGATGATGTGGAGCCGTGCTTGAGACTTGCCATCCGACCTTGGTCGACACTTGCGGGCTGAGAGCTTCCGGCGGACTGCGAGTTATTAGAAGATGACCCGGACGTTTTTCTGCGCTCGTGATTTTGACCGGTGCTGAATTGAACGAGAAGCGGGGACGAAGGCTGAGAGGGACGGCTGGGAGACGAATTCGCCTGGCTCATGCTTGAAGGGGACGAAGGCCGGTTATTGCCTTTAGTTTGAGACAATGTCCGCTGTAGGGGCATCGGTAACGGGCTGCCCTCCAAAGTGGGTGGTGCAGGCTGCGTGGGGGCTTGATCCTGGCCACCTTGCGCGTGTCCCTGTTGCTGAGAGCCGGTGGGAGGAACGTGGCGTTGCTGTGCTTGCATTGCCTCCTGGCGTAGTTTCTGAATCACGTCCTTGTTGGCCTTCTCGAGCATGGGAAGGTTCTTGAAGGCAAAGTTGCCAAAGTCGTCGGCCATTGTAGGCTCGCTCAGTCTCCTGCTACGTGACTCACGCACGTGAGGTGGGATGTGCAGAGGCATCAACGGTCGCTTCATCGAGTTTACATGAGAGCGGACTTTGAATAAGGCATCATGAGGCCGATCTTGAGGGTATGCGCCAGTGGTTAACGGCGGTTGGGGTGGGCTTGCATCTTCCAGTTCTTCAGCAAAGGCTTGAAGCGTGGCGCCACGAGCGTCGAAGTATTCGGTATCTTCGGGGTTCTCAATGTTGGGTACAAACTGCGCTTTGTCCTCTAGTAAGGTATCCCAGTTGATATCAGAAAACCAAGGGTGACTCCGGATCTCTGCTCCACCATTTGGGTATTTCTCATCCACATTAGCACCTATCCGTTCACGAGGGTTCATGGTCATGAGCCTGTTCACAAGATCAATAGCTTCGGGGGAAGCGTATTCCTCAGGTTCCTCCGGCCAGTTGATCCTCCGGTGAAGGATGTTGTCGAAGACCTCATCTGGAGTTCCAGCATTGAATGGCGGATAGCCGAAGAGGAACTCAAACATAATGCAACCCAGGGACCACCAATCACTCATCTCATCCTGACCAACACCGTTAATGGTTTCCGGGGCCAAATAATCTGGTGTGCCCACAAACCGCCTGTTATGGTCCTCGGGGTCAAACAGCGCCATTAGGGGAGGCATCATTGACTGTTGTGGGGGAGTACTGTAGGAGAAGGAATTGCTCATTGTGGGTTGAAGCGGGTACAAGTGAGGAGACTCACCCGCCTCGCTTTGGCTCTCCTCTTCGGGTAGTTGATGCTGATGGTGGTGTTGGTGTTGGCCCGGGACGGGCACAGGCATAGTGCCGGAAGCTTCACCACCCTCGTTGACAGACAAAGTGCGGAACATGGCATTGAGACTCTCGCTGGCGCCGCTATCGCTACGGTACCCGGACGCTCGACGAGAAGTCTGCCGACTGAGTCCGCCCCCTTGGTTGAGGCTGAAGTAAGATGGTTGGGGGATGCTGCTAGCAACATCTGGCGTGATCAATGGTGTTGATCCTGGGGATCCACTGCCTTGGAAATCGAAAGAGGCCGATC